AATATCATGATTGTATCTTTTTACAAAGTAGATAAACAGTTTTTTGTAGAATGAGCAGTAAAATTTATACATATGTATTGTAAATTAAAACAAAGGATATGTGTATGTAGATCGTCATTATTTTAATTAAAATTGCTGTGAAAATGAATGAAAGATGTGTAGTGACGTCAATTGATATATATATATGCATATATGTATTTTAAATCCCCTTTTGCCTTATTTTAAGATTTTCGTTATCTCATAAAATTCAATCGTAAATTTTCGAAAATCTATAAATTTCTTACATTTTTTAAAAACTGTCGAAAAATACACCAGCGCAGATCAGCGATTTTGACTAACAGTTACAATCTGGTGTTAAGCTTAGTATACAGCTCTCAAGAAAAGCCAAAACTCCATATAAAAAGCGGGGAAGAAATGGCGAAAATTTTTCTCGTGTCGAATTTCCTTAAGACAGTACGGAGCTCCTAAGAAGTTTGCAATACTTTCTACTATGGTTTTCTGTAGTTTTCTAAAGTTTTTTTTTGTAAAAAAGGACCACAAGGCAACCCCTCTTTTCAACAAAAATATATGCCCGTTCTATTATTTCGTGAAGCAAGAGTGAGACTGCAGGCTGTGAAATATCAGATGTCAAATTTCCTTGGACACACACGAAATAACGGCAATTTGTTTCTTGATCATTTTGTAAGGAGCTGGATTCTTAGCTTAAATAGGAACACTGACAGTGGTTTAGTTAAATATTTTGGAAAAATTTTTAGGTATTTTTTTTTTTGTCAAGAGATATCGCACTAAATTTAAATGGTTGTAAATCAAGCAAAGCAAAATATGCAAACTCCACATGCATTTATTGTAAAATATACTAAAATTGCATTTACAAATTTGCAAAATATTTATAATACTGAACCGATTTTAACCATTCTTTTTTTTAATGTAACCTCTTTGACTCTACAGAATCTTCTCTTTTATTTGATGCCCTCATTGTTATTCAAGATTGCACTGAATTTTTTTAAATAATTTTTGAATTACAGTGGTATCTGGCTGGAGTGAACACCCGATGCTACGAACACCTCGAAAGAGTGAACATGAACATTTTTCTATTGAGTACTCTATAGAGTGAACAAGTGTGAGTCTTTGTAGAGTGAACAAAATTTAAAACCAATTCATTCCAAATTCAAAACTGTAACGAAAAACTTCATAACAAAAAGGATAATCCCTTCGCCAGGCCGATCCCGTAAATCCCCGTATAAGGGGTTCTTAACTCGGAGATTCGGCAACTAGTGAAGTAGGAAGACCATCTGAAGACTTGTAACTTCGCCTCTGGTGTGAGCAAGCTTTGGTCAACCGTAAGGTCATTGTCCAATCCGACGAAGCATGACGACTGAGTTGAAATATCTTTTGGCGACCACACTTCGTCCGACCCGGAGCGATGCGCGAGCTATTTTAGCCGACAGTTCATACTGCATCCTCGGCGGACAAAGCCAAACATAGAGTGACCAGAAGGCTGCACAAACTTGCCAACACCAAGTGCGGCTCTTTTTTCCGCAGCGACGAGGAAAGGATAGCCATCGGGAAGGCGAAAGTCTCCAAAGCAATTGAACCCGACGGAATTTGCATGCTGCTGCGGGAGTGGACTATCTAACCAAGGTCCTCAACCTGTCTATGGCCACTCTCATCGTACCAGACATCTGGAAAACGGGGAGAGTGGTTCCACTGCTTAAACCGGGGAAGCCGTCCAACAAAAGATAGTCTTATCGCCCGATAGCTCTCCTTTCCCCGGTTGCGAAGACACTAGACACCCTTCTACTCCCGTACTACACAAATTACTGAACACCAGCGAAAAATCAACATTGGTTCCGTAAAGTGCACAGCACAACAACAGCACTTGACGCCATAAACAGCCAGATAACTCGTGGCCTTAACCGAAACCCCCCCTGTGAGAGAACTATTCAAGTAACGCTACTAGAAGACAAACGAAGGGCGGCGAATTACCTGAGTGGTCGAAACTCGTCAGTGATCTTTAGAGACAAATCGAGCAAACCTTGGAGAATAAAACAGGGAGTTCAACAGAGTGGTGTCCTTTCCCACTACTGTTCAACTTTTACATTTCTAAGCTCCCTCAACCACCAGAGGTAGTCTCGATTGTCTCTTATGCTGACGATTGCTCAATAATGGTTTTCTCGCTTCGTCACTGCACGCAGCCTAAACCTCTCCCCTACAAAATCCTCAGCAACGCTTTTCACCACTTGGACGAAGGAGGTCAGACTGCAACTGGGTATTCTCGTCGATGACGAACCAATTCCGACGTTGAATAACCCGAAGGTCGTAGGAGTAACCTTCGAAGGTCTGCTCTCCTTCTCGGCGTATACAACCGCAATTGTCAATAAAGTACAAAGCCCCAACAAAGTCCTCAACTTGCTAGCCGGCAGCACCTGCGGCAAACAAAGAAATGTTGTTGGCAACGTACAAGGCAATTGGCCGGCCGATTCTGAACTATGAAGCGCCTGTATGGTTACCGGGGACTAGTAGGACGCATTGGATGAAGCTGCAGACCTGCCGAAACACGGCAATCAGGCAGCGAAAGCATTCCTTCTGATGTCGCCGCAACATCACCTGCGCGACGAGGCGCTTATGCTCCCGATTAAGGAGCATAACACAATGCTCTGCAAGCAATTCCTAGTAGGGTGTTATCGTGTTAGCACCCAAACAGATATCTGATTGCGGAAGAACCCTCGCCACGGCACGTCAGAAGGCATCTATATGAACTGACGGGCGAAGTCCGGGTTTCATAAAACTTTCTCTGAACCCAACAACATACCGACAGGCCTCGAACGAAATTCAAATAGAGCCAGTCCCGAGTTATATAGACTCTCGACCTGTGAATGCCGTTATGGGCACGCAACCACCTGACGTGGACGAGACAGAGCTTCGTCTGCCTCGGGAGACTCGGACCACATAGCCCAACTTCGATCGGGCTACTGCAGCAGGTTGAACTCATACCTGAACAGAATAAATGCAGATGTGCCAAATGAGTTCCCGTCATTCGGAGAGACGCTCCATGACTCGAGGCATCTCTTCGCATGCGCAGTGAACCCCACCCTGCTAATGTGTCTGGCCTTATGGCCAGACCCCATCGAGGCTTCGCGCTTCCTGGGTCTACCGCTATAGAGCTTGACGACGACGATACAATAACAATAGGAAACATGTGCTGGCATTAGCTTTGGGAAAAGACGACACTTCAGAGTTCTTAAAAATTTAACTTTAAAAGACACACTGCGCAATAAAATTGATTTTAAAGAAAAAAAACTCAATCTGGATATAGTGAACAATCTGTTTTCTATGAACTGGTCTTGCATTAATTAGTTCACTCGACCCAGATAGCACTGTATTAATAATTTTTGGAATTGTCAGACATTTAAAATAAAAATTTGTCGTCAAAGAGGAAAACTAAATACTCAGTTTTACTAAATACGAGCAAGTGTTTATTAAATATTTTATTTTTCATTATTTTTTTTATAAAAATATGGTTAATTCTATAACAGAAATGCCAAAAATCAGAATTCCAAACCTCGTGCAAAATGAAAGAAAATTCTGCAACTTTTCTTTCAAATATTGCTCTTTTTCTTTACACTCTTCAGAAAAAAGTTGAGTATGCAGTTTTTTAACCCATTCAATTTTAGTATAATAAAGTGCAAGTCTGAAGAAGCTGGGACTTACCATTGATTTTTGGCAAATTATTTGTTGAAGGTGTCGCTCATTTTTACGTATAAAAAAATTATCGAAATAAGCTACCTCAAACTTGTACTTTGTTATAATACAATTGAATGGGCTAAAAAAGCCGCATAGTCAAATTTTTTCTAAAGAGTGTAAATACAAAGTGCAATATTTGAATGAAAATTTGCAGAATTTTCTTCAATTCGGCACAAGTTTGGAACTCTGATTTTTGAGGTTTTTGTTGTAGAGTTAACCATATTTTTACACAAAATAAGCTTAAAATAAAATATTTAAAAAATAGTTGCCCATATTGCAAAAAATTCGCTGTACCTAAACTTTATTGACTGACTGTATAATTTTTTTTTTGATATGTTTTAATATTTTTCCGGCGACACTCGAATGGTTTGACAGCACCAGCAAAATCAAATGATCTATAAATTTAAGTAAAAATTCATTTAACAAAATATTTGGCGTAATTTTATTTTGTTTTATTAAATTTGTATTTGTCAGCGTTTTTAATTTCTCTCAATACCCTTCTTATATCAGTTTTTTTTGCATTACTTTCTGCTAGTATGTATATGTTTTCATTGTAGCTTAATAAAATTATCGCACAGAGATCCCATTCTTCCTTATTTGGTTTTTGTTTTTTTTTTTTGCTAAAAAGTTCACAATATCAAAACAAAAGCTTCGCCATGTGTACATAAAAAACCATAATAACTAATTACCAGAAAATAACAAACAACACATACTACGCTTAATCAACTTTTTAGACGCACATCAAATATTTGCAGATACTTTTTTTATTCCATTCTGTATGTATGTACCCCATTTCTGCTCGATTTGAGTGAGTGTGGTGACCGTTGCCTATGTATGCGACTCACTCAATTGTGGGTTATCTACTCACCCAACACATACTCAAGACAATGTATTCCTTTGAGTGAAACTTTTTTGCCCGACTCTCACAAACACCACCACCACACAAAAATCGATTGTAGATACAAAAATGACTGCATTACCTGTATGCACAAAGTATCTGCGGGTCTGTTTCTCGCCCGTTCATACCGGCCACTCGCTCAGTGGTGTAACATTCGTTGTTCACATGTTGCGGTCGGTGACAATAGAAATTTGAGCTAAAACGAAACACTCAAATTACTGCGGCAAACATGCGCAGCACCAAGCAAGCGGCTGGCCAGCCAGCCAGCCAGCTACCACCAACCGAATGAATGATTGAGTGTGAACTTTGAGTCGGTTGGCTGGGTGTATGCCGTATGATACGAGTATAAAGGTGTCGACATTAACCGGCAGACGTTCAGTCGCCATATAAACTTGTTACCAAGAACAACTTATACCAAGCTATACAAAAATTAAGCTGCCACAGCAACAACAAAAAGTGAAATCTTTTCAAAAATAGATACAAATTGATGAAAATAAGAGCACATTTTTTAAAAGTAAAATATATTGCCTAAGTTCAAAAAGACTGAATTTGTGAATTATATTAATTCCAAAAAGAAAACACTAACTTAAATACTACTAGAAAAGTGTTTTCCACAATTTCCAAGTACAGTTTTAAGTCACATTTGTACATTTTGCGCAAGAAAGCCAACTTCCAGCTCAGCAAAATCGATAGAAATACTCAAAGTGAACATTTTTATACTCAAAAAAGCTTAACTTTGCGCACCAATACACACACAAAAAGTGCTGCAAAAGCTCCGGCAATCGTGCGATTTTTATAACTCGCTATTGACATCGTGTGTTTTAGTGAAAAAGATTGCGTGCCCAGACAGCCGAGTTGCTGAAAAGAGACACAATTTTTATTGAACATTGAATTGAAATTCAGTTATTGCTGAACTTTTGTAAAACCAACAAGACACTAAAAAAGAACTGCTGAACAGCCAGTAAAAATTTTAACAAAAAAAGCTAGAAAATAAAATTACACTAATAAAGAAGCTAATAAAAAAAGACTGTGTGCCTTTTGTATGAAAAAAAATATAGAAACTAAAAACAAAAGCAAATAAGCACAAAAAAATCTAAAAGAGATTAAGCAAAAATTCAAGCATAACTTTGCTGCAAAAATCATTGCTAAAAGAAGCGACTTTTTTCCGTCGAAAAATCAACAGCCAACGTGTCGTTTCTTACGCTTTAGTAAGAAAAAATTTTTTAAAGCTGTGAAATTGTTATATAATTTCAAAACTAAAACTATCGCTCGCTCATTAAAAAGCGTTACATAGAGACTCAACACACAAACACACATATCACACACGCCCAAATAAAGGCAATCAAAAAAAAATAAAAATAAAAATAAAAGTGTTAAGCGTTAAAGTGCGCTGTTGAGATAGAAAAAAAAAAGCGAATAACTATAAACTTTGGTGAGAGAAATTAAAACCAGCAACACGCGCGACACCGAGAAAAAAATGATGGGCACAATGTCGATGCGTCAACCTGAAAATTGGCTATACGAAATTTGGCAGAAGGGACAAGACAGTCCATGCTATGTGATGGTACCCAATGCAAAAGTAAGTTACTCTAAAAAAAAAAAAATTAATTCGAAAAGTGATTTATTTTTGGTAGCGTAGCGTATAAAATGGCAAAATTGTTGATTTTTACTATTTAATTAATTATTGTATTGTTGAGAGGGTACTGCAGAAAAAATGCAACTCCGATAAAAGTGCGTGCGAATGAATGATCAGTAGCTACGTACACATCGCATATTAACTAAAAAACTGCCGTAACTCAAAAAAATAAATTTTTGAGCAAAATATGCAGATTTACTTTTTGTATCACGTTTCATATTGTGTAAAAATTCCATGTCAAAATACAATATTTATTTCATCTTTTGAAAACTTTGAATGCGCCTGCGAAAAAATACAATTTTTTGAGTTAAGACCGTCTCATAGTAGTAATCGAATTGCGTGTAGATACACATTTGCAGTTGCATACTCAGAAAAAAACTCATAGGTTTTTAGTTTTGTTGTTGCTGCAACTGGAAACCAAGAAATTTACTTACCTGAAAAAAAGGTTTTGTCACACAAAGTAGGGAAATTTTTGTAGCGTGTAAATAAGTGCAATGAAATTTGCAATTTTGGCACGTCTATGTTAGATGTGATTAACCCTTAATTGGTGTACACCACAAAAATCTTCTTAAAGGACTTGAGCTCGTGCTCTCGTTGTTAATGCAAACAAAAAATTTAATAACTAACTGTAGGGTTTTAGGATTATAAGTTAAATTTGATAAATAGACATTTATGAACATTTACCTTTCCTGGTGTCTCATAAACAAACCTCACTTTCCCATGGGTAAAAAAAAAAAAAAAAATTAAAAAAAAAATTAAAAAGGTTTTGTGCTTTATTTTAAAATTGGGCAGTGCTGGATTTCAAAAATTAAATTTTTAACACTACATAAGCACTAATTTTTTAATTTTTTAGAAATAAGAAACTTATTTGTAAAGTTGAATTTTTTTGTTTTAACAATTTTTTCACTTTAAAATATTTTAAGAAGTCTTCTCACTGATTTATTAATTATTTTTTTTATAAAACGAAGAAATTTTGAGTGTAAACAAAAATTCTATATTTAGGGGATTCACAAGCCTTAACTGCAGTTTACGTATAAGTAAGAAAGAAATAAAAATAAAAATAAAAATAAAATAAAACTAAAAATCACTTAAATTTGTTGTTTTGTGTAATTATTTTATTACACTTTTTTATTTAAAATTTTAAAATAAAATTTTAGAATTTTACAATTTAGTTTTGATTTTAAAATTAAACTTTTTTATATCTTTGGAGGTCAACAAGTCTTTAAACTTTTTGAGCTCTGAGAAATTGTATTTTCTCATTTTTTGTAATTCTTAATTTTTTTCTAATCTCTTTTAATTTGTAAAATTTTTAATTTTTTCACATTCAATATTTTTCATGTAAAATTTCCTAGAGATCATGATCCTTAAGTTTTTAAATTTTTTTTAATTGTCTTTTACTTTGTAACACTTTTTAATGTAAAATTTCGAATATATCATGATCCTCTTTAATTTAGAATGTATGTATGTACGTAAATGCATATTGGCTGGAAATAAATTATAAAAATTGCATTTTTTCAATTGAAATTCTAATGTAAAACGGCAGCATTTTCTTTGCCTACCATTTTCCTTCAATAATTTTTGTCATTACTAGCAACGCTTCAGAATCGCTTTAGCCAGTTATCTTATTTTCAATCGATAACTGAGTCACCCTGTTATGAATGATTGCATGCGGAAAAATTGCAAATCATTTTACGCTCATGCAGGCAAAAGCCAACACGATAGCGAGCAAAAGTAGATAAACTCAAAAGAACAAAATAATTTCGCGAGAAAAATTTATTTAATTACAAGATATATTTAATTACTTTAGACTATTTTGCATTCTACACAATATTTTTCTCGCCAAACAGCCAAGCAGCTGCCTGTGTATTTATTTGCATTTCAAGAGCAATTTAGCATAAATGCATAATGCATATATGCAAAGCAACAACAAAACCAAAGATTGTGCATGCTAATAGAAATAATGTACCAAAAATCTGAAAAAGTTAAAAGACCGTAAAAGTTTGACTGTTTTTTTATGGGTAGTCTACAGCGCTCCTAACCGAACAAAGTCCGTTCCACTTAAGTGATTTTCATTGTTTCTTGTTGATGCTGAATGTTGCAATATCTTCTACCCAAGTACATAGGGGCGGCATACATATTTGTCTTACTGCAAAAAAAAAAGAATACACCTTCCACGTCATTGCTTGAAGTGGCCAACGACAACAACAAAGCTTAAAAATACTCGCATTCATTTTACACGCGCGTATAAAGATCGCGTCCCACAATAAAATTTATTCGTCGACACAGCCAGCCAAGCAACGATCAGCCCCCACCGTATATGGGCCTGGGTAATCGCATAGCAGCCCGCATATGCATTTATTTCTATATAATATCAGATCAACCAGTTCGCGCTGGGTGAATGGCAATGCATAAATATCATCGCACACACACGCACACACACTTACGATTCTGTCCTCAATTTTTGCGCTGCCGCTGACACTCTGATGCCGATATAATCTCAGACGCAGGCGGCATCGAGAAAATAAATGCATTGACAATGCCACAGATATTAAAATTGCACCCGCACCCATCCAGATAAAGACGCAAGAGCGTCGCGCAGGCGGCGCAGTATAATGCGTTGCGTCGCGACAAATGCGTTGGCAATAAAAATGCATACGAAGGTCAAAGTGAATTGTTAGTCTATAGCGCATTAGACCGACCAAGCTGTTAGCAACTCACCTGTGTCTACAATTGCGGCCTAACGATATACATACCTGTCACTAGTAAGCAGCGGCTGGCATTGTATGTACCTACATATCTATGTATGTGTATAAAAGCAATAATTGTGCGTGGTTACGCCTACTATTGAATTTGCAATTTAGCGTGTAAAATAGTTTTGGAAAAAAAAGAATTTGACACCTCTCTATGCACGCGCGTCCATAAGCCAGCCAGCATTGCTGCTACAGTACTTTTACTTTTATTTTTATTTTTGACATGTCTAGACCTTATTAATTTTTCGGTGCATGCGAAAAACGTTAATCCGTTTATTGTTTTTGACCGCATTGTGGAATTTACAACTATTAAGTTGGCGGCCTTCTAGAAAGCGCTTGAGTACCTTAAGCCGAGTTATTGTTCGGCGATCGTATATTTAGTATCTACATACTTCTACTTAATAGGGATCTCTAAATAAATTTGAATTGTGTATTGTTCAATTTTTCGCACGCAGTATGCGCATAGAATTTTTCATACTTAATAACCAGACATCGTTAAAAAAAATTGTAGAAGTAATTAAAAGCGAATATGACCATAAACTGAAAAGCGCAGGTCATAAAATTTATTGTATAGTACAACTGACGGAGAAGAAATGATAATAGCAGTAAATAATATTCATACCTGCGAGAAGTAGTCTCTGAAGCGACAAAAAAAAACTTTGTCCACAAAATATCTAAACGTTGTCGTTTAACTGGCAACCGCAATGAAGAAAATCTATGCATCCTTGTACAGCCTCTTTTCTGGCGAGCATATCTGCCACTTCTTTGCCCATGTATTCCCGAAGTCAGTTTGTCCATAAAATTTTTGAGCAACAAGTTTTCTTTCTTAGCATTTTGAGCTGTTGATTTAAGTGATTTTGCCAACATATGAGTTTCTTGAAGTTAATAAAATAAAATGATATGAGGTTATACATATACACGGGCGGCAGAAATAATGAACTCGTCGTACTTTTAAGAATTTTGGCTATATTTATTTAGTTTATTTTATGTTTAATATATATATTTTTTTTTAAATAACAACCTAGTATGCAACAAACATCATATAAATCCGCTTTTCAAACTTTGAACAAAAATTATAAAAATTCGTCAAATTTTCACCAAATTTTCGAACTTTTTATTCAGAATGCTTAGAAAAGTTTTTGATATGCCCATTCAACTTTAGTATAATAATGTGCAAGTTTCAATTGGCTACAAAATACCGTTGCTTTTTAAGATTTTTTTTTTGCTGACGGTGTCACGCATTTTTTCCCATACAAAGTGTGCTCGACAATTTTTTATATGCAAGAAATGCCTAGCATAATCAACAAAAAAAAAAACCAAAAAAAAATCCACTTGAAACTTTCACTTTATTGCACTAAATTTAAATGGGCTACAGAACTGCATACCAAACATTTTTCTAAAAATTCTCAATAAAAGGTTTAAAAATTTGGTGAAAATTTGCCGAATTTTTATAATTTTTGTATAAAGTTTGTTTGTTATTTTAGTCAGGCTTTTATATTATTAAATATTAAACATAAAGTAAAGCATGGAATAATAGCCAAAACTCTTCAAAGTAAGGCGAGTCTATTATTTCTGCCGCCACTGTATGTACATATATTGTATTTATATGAAATTAAATATACAGGTAATACAAAAAAATTGTGTATACTACAAAACAAAATTATAAAAAAAAATCGATTTAAGTATGCAATTAAATCAGCTCAGCGCTTGTTTTTTTCATTAGCAGTCATTAATGCCAAAAAGCGCCGATAAGCACTGAGTTGATTAGCTACAATAAAAAAAAGTGTCTAGCAATTTTATGCATAATTTTGTTTGCTCGTAGTTACTTTTGCATACATTAGGGCGAGTCAATTTTTATGATAGACATTTTTCGACTATGCAGTTAGGGTATAGAAGTATTTTACGTGAAATTCTAAGGGACTTTGCCGAAGAAAGCTTAGGCCTAAAATCAATTTTGAGCTTGCCAAATTGCGATAAAATGTTTTTGTTTTTCCTTAGTAACATTTTATTTTGCTTTAGTGTCGTAATGGTTCGACATTACGTCAAAATCCATGCCACGCCATGCCTACAGCCCAAAAAAAAATATACCCACCCTAACATACTTACATATTTATTTACTTTTTTTGCTTGTGATTTTTACTCTTCACTCGCTTTTGACTACCAAATAAGTAGTTACCTGATAAACCAGTTGCA